TGTGTTTATTTTGATCTCACTAGCTAACTTTTATGCCAAGAACCTCTTTAATGAAACCAGTGTGCTGGTCACTTGGTGGAAGTAGCTGCTCATTCAATGGTCCAGTACAAATTAGAGGAGACCATTGTTTTGGACTGAGATCCTGCATCAGGCCCTAACAGACCAGACCAAATCTAAATGGTGTTCTCATACTAGGTACCACATAATTAAATTAAAATTTTAAACAAGTCAATTTTTCACAACAAACAAACAACAACAACAACAACAAAAAAAACCCCCGGAGATTTACAGCCATCAATCAAAGGGGATCCAGTCAAGCTTTTGGATGAAGATCCCTCAGCTTTAATCCATACAAGGAAAGAGTGATAACAACAGATCCACTTTTTATACTATGCCCTTTCCTTTTGTTTGTTAAAGTTAATTGACATACCAAATCACCTCGCCTACCTATCTCCTCCTCCTCCTCCTCCTCCTTCTTTTGTAATGAAAACACTTAAAATCAATTATTTTAGAAATTTTGAAATATATAATACAGACTTGAATTATTTTATTTTATTTATTTATTGTTCTTTTTAGATATACATGACAGTAGGGCATATTTTGACATGTATTCATGGAGTATAACTTATTCTAATTAGGACCAGTTCTTGTAGTTGTACATGCTGTGGAGTTTTATTGGTCATGTATTCATATATGAACGTAGGAAAGTTATATCCGATTCATTCTACTCTTTCCTATTCCCATCTCCCTCCCTTCATTCCCCTTTGTCTAATCCAAAGTACCTCTATTCTTCCCTCCCCTACCCTTATTATGTGTTAGCATCCACATATCAGAGAGAACATTTGACCTTTGGTTTTTTTTTTTGATTGGCTTATTTCACTTAGCAGGGAAGTTTTCAGTGCCCTCCATTTACTGGCAAATGCCATGATTTCATTTTTCTTTATGGCTGAGTAATATTCCATTATGTATATATACCACAGTAACAGTTGAAAGGCACCTAGGTTGGTTCCATAGCTTAGCTATTGTGAATTGAGCTACTATAAACATCGATGTGGCTGTGGCACTGTAGTATGTGGATATTAAGACCTTTGGATATAAGCAAAAGAATGGGATAACTAGGTCAAATGGTGGTTCCATTCCAAGTTTTCTGAGGAATCTCCATACTGCTTTCCATAGTGAATGGTTGCACTAATTCGCATTCCCACCAGCAATGTATGAGTGTACCTTTTCCCTACATCCTCAACAACATTGTTACTTGTATTCTTGTTAATTGCCATTCTGACTGGAGTGAGAAAGAATCTCAGTGTATTTTTAATTTGCATTCCTCTAATTGTTAGAGATGTTGAACATTTTTTTATATATTTGTTGACCATTTGTATTTCTTGAACTCCCTGTTCAGTTCCTTTGCCCATTTATGATAGGGCTATTTGGGTTTTTTGGTGCTAAGTTTTTTTTTTTAATATTTATTTTTTAGTTGTAGTTGAACACAATATCTTTATTTTATTTATTTATGTTTATGTGGTGCTGAGGATCGAACCCAGGGCCTCTCACGTGCGAGGCAAGCATTCTACCGCTGAGCCACAACCCCAGCCCCTGATGCTAAGTTTTTTTGAGTTCTTTCTATATCTTGGCGATTAATACTCTGAGGTGCAGGTGGCAAAGATTTTCTCCCATTTTGTAAAATGTGTGACTTAGGCCATTTATTGATTCTTTATTTATTTATTTGTGCTTTAGGAGTCTTGTTGAGGAAGTCGGTTCCTAAACTGGCACTACTACATTTTCTTCTAGTAGATGCAGGGTCTCAATTCAGCCTTTTAAAAAGAAGGAATGTACGAATATATAACAACAAATCCCATTATTATGTACAAGTGTAAGGCACCAATAAAAATGTGGAATAAAAAAGTAATAAAACTGAAATTCTGATTGGTCATAATGTGTTGCCTTGATAATAATATTTTTACTAATCTTTCTGCTTTCTGGAAAGTATAAATTATTGTGTGTTTCCTTAGTTAATCTGGAAGAGCTAAAATTCATTAAGTGCTTTATGTGCATTCAAAACTAATTAAAACCCCTTTTAGTATCAATCATTTAATCTCACAACTCTATAAAGTAAAATCATTATTTTACTTACTTATATTTAAGGAGTTTCCCATCATTCTTCCTGCTGACCCTCAAAGACTGGGGCTTATGTCTGAGATGCCACTCTTAGCCATGTTACTGTGGACTTCTTTATTTTTTCTGATTTTTGTTTTTCTAGTTTTTAATAGAATTAAGCGCTATTGTTCTCTTCTTCCACTTAAATTAATAGTAAGAAAAAAAATGTGTGGCTTAGGCCTCTCAAGCAGCCTGGTCATACATGGTTTCTAGTGAAAAATTACTACTAATTTATTATTCACACCCAGTTATTTTTTAGAGTGAGAGGAGGTGCTACGTTAATATGTAAGCTGGGAAAGTAGGCATCAACAGAGATTACTCTATTCAAACTAGGACACTTGGCTTCTTGGAGGAGTCTTGGGAAATTCCCTGCAGGCCTAGAGACTCAAAAAACTCTTTTTTTTCAGGAAAAACAAGAGAAAATAGCTAACTGCCCTTGTGTAAATTATTCTAAGCTCAGCACTGCAAAAAACTGTGTGTCCCTTTCTGGGAAGCAGAACACATTAAGTAATAAAGGAAGAGAACATTTAATGCTTATGAAAGTCTCTGAAGAGTTCCTCCTGGCACCTAGAAATTTTCCTGGCTTGCTTTCTTTTTATCAGAGAGGAGAAGCACTTGAATGAGTGAAAAAGTAGAGAGTGATTTTCCAGCGTCAAAGGGTCTTAAGGGAGTAAAGTAATTGTGACTATCGCTGGCTCACAATTTCTATTTCCAGGAAAGTAGGAAAAAAGGGGTCTGGATATAATAAGTCCTCTCCTATGAAGCGGTCTCCCGAAGCATGCCCATGACTTGACTGTGGGTAGTTGACAACACTCCTCCTCTTCATTCTCTCTCTCTGTTCACTCCTAGGACCAAGTGAGCCAAGACAACTTGGAGCTTACTTGAACTATTGGGAATCTCACCTTTCCAAGGATTTGTGTAGGGACTACTCAAATATTGTTTATCATTGCTTTGGATAAGAACCAAAGGGACAGGAAAAATTCTTTGATAGGTATCTGTCTTATAACTTTCACCTCATTGTGCCTAAAAAAATTAAAATGAGGCCCAGACCTAGAAAAAGACATCATCCCTAATTTCAGCAGATTCTAAACTTAAGACAATGATTCTCTAACGTGGTGTCAATCCTTGCCTGATTTCCTTTATCTCGAGTTGATTTGCTTCATTCTGCATCCTCTTTCTAATATCCAACTCGTAACTCCTTCAGTTTTGTAACAAAATTGAAAGCATTTCACCTTCATTCTTCTCTGGGTTACTAGATGAGTGTAAGTCCCATCTCCTTACTAGTTGTTATATATCATCTTCCAGTATCTCTTCTATCAAGTCTCCATGATTTGCTTGCATCGGTCTTGGAGATTACTAGTATCTCTAATGCAATGCCCACTTTCTTTTCTCCCAGCAAACATTCCAGGCAAAAATCCTGAGCTATCACAACCTGGGCTGGGCCTTGGTTTCTACGTGAGAAGGACCAGTTCTGGTGTCCTCTGGGTTCCCACGTCATCTCTGCCCCATCACACACATGTTATTCTTTCTTCTCTAGGAAAATCTAATTGTCATTAAAATTTTCCATTTGGATGAAGGGATAGGTATTGGTGGGCTTGATTCTGGTCCCTCATGGAGGACTGCTTACCTTGCTCATTGTGCAGCAGGGAAGTCCTAACATAGAACACTATGTTTTGGGACAAAGTGCTGTCAGAACACTGACAAGCACTATTTCCTTGTTCCTGTCACAGGAAGTTATTCCCCTGTTGGTACAAGGCCAGCCTGTGTGACAGTTTCTGAACTCTTGGTGTCTGGACTCCTGTAATGTATGTTGTTTATTACCTCTGGCCTATCGTGACTATTGTATGTAAGTTAGCATATATCCACTATAAAAGCTATTTTTGCTGCTCAATAAAGCAGATGGAGTTCTCTGAAACTGTCTCTGGAGGGGTTTCTCCATGCCCTCAAGCTTCAGATGATGCTAGAAGGGCAGATCCCACAGCTGGGTAGGGATGGGATAAATGAGAAGACCGTGGATTGTAGTTCCTTGATAGCATCTGCATAAAGGTTCTTCCCCAAATACTCTTACTAAACTTATATAATAAAGCACAGTCTTGCTTTCCTGACTACAACAGCACCCTCCCAGCATTCTTGTGCTGCATCCCAGCTCTCTCTGATGCCTTCCTGAATCTACTACTTTGATAATTAGTAGCCAGTGGGCCATTTTCTGACTATCTTTATCATGTATCAAATCTACATGACTTTGTAGCAAATTTCTATACTACTGTTCAACATTCCTGGATTATAGCATCCTTCAGATATAACCTGCCATGTGATCTTCCATAGCAACTCATCACAAATACACTGGCATCTGGAAGATTTCTTTTCTCAGTGCTGAAAACATCCACATGGATGCTAACAGTTTTATTTTCCTGGGTTGTCTATTTTTTTCTTTACCTACTCCTGTACCCTAAGTCCCAGTTCATGTCCCTTGCGGTGGAACCAGCTCAGCTGTTCCATTTGCTCTGTATTCTTACATTCTTCACAAGATCAAAGCTATTTTTTCCAATATTGACTACCCTTTACCTCAAATTGTCAGTACATTATTATGTAGAGGGAGAAAACCTTTGCCAGTCAGTAGTAATATGGGAAATAGGCAGAAAACCCCAACTTGCTACACTCCTGAAAGTTGTCAGATTGCATCATCTGGGAAAATCAAGACCCTATGTGTGAAGAGACATCTGGATGCTGGATTCTGACCAAAAGGAATTGTGCAAGAGGGAGAAGAGGTTTGCTCCATTAGAAAGCGCCAGTATATAAATACCAGCCACATCTCTCCAACAGGTGGCACAGGCAGCAGCTGCAGCTTTACTCAGCAGGAACCACAGCCCAGGGTGAGGTGTTAGAACTTTTCAACCATTTTACTCTGACAATTCTCTTTTTCCACCAGTGTTCTTGTGCTGCACCTCAGCTTTCTCTCTCTACATCCTTCCTAAAACTAATATTCTGATAATTAAAATTCACTAGATGTGAATACTTTTCAGGGTAGAGTTCTGTTATGTGCATCTGTGTGAATTCAGTGGTGGTTACAATAGGCATTATATTAATATTTATTGATGATTTAACTCATCTCATATTACAGAGAGGAATGTATCAAAATCCCCAAATGCTTATTTGGAAATTTCCTGTACAGTGGAGGTTTAGGGCTGATAAGGAATGACTGAAATGGGAAGTAGTTTATTCTAACAGTGCATTGCAATCTCTAAGACACTGGATTCTAATAAGATTGATGAAAATGAAGGATCAAACCTTTTGAAAACCTATTTACCTCTCATCTCTCTCTCCACACACACACACACACACACACACACACACACACGCATGTTTGTGTGTAAAATTGATTGAGGTTTATTATTGGAATGCAATGATGAATCAACACCACAAAATATAAAAATCCCTCCAAAAACACGAATCATTCTAGGTTGTGTTTCTTTGACTCTGCAGCAAAATGAAGCTTTTAATTAGCATCATTTTTTGCTTCCTGGTCCTGGGAGTTAACAGCCAAAGATGGGGCGAATTCCTCAAGCAAGCTGGTCAAGGTAAGGATCAAAGGATGGGGGCAGGAGGCTACATCTGGCTCAGGTGATTCACCTGAGCAGACATCCCCACTGTCAAAGTCACAGCTGGATAGAGAAGGAACTTTTTTTGTTTCTTAATTGTAGTTCATGGAGCTTTTCTGGCTACCTTTTTCACTCTTTTATGGGGATCACTAGGCTAGAGGCCACTTAAAGTTTGAGAGGCAGCTTTTCAGCAACAATATAGGTAAGCTCTGGAATTTGGTGGTGTTCTCCTAAAACAAGTGGGGCTCTACTGCCCCCTAGTGGGAATCCAGGGATAGCTTATTTCTAAGTCAAGGCCATCTATCCTTGGTTTGCATCCACATGTTTGTGGGAATGCTGAGCAGAATCAGTGCAGTCTCAACCACATAGTAAGAGCAACCACGATTAACTAAGCTCTTAATATGGGCTAGACACTGTACTACGAGTAATAAATGAATTAGTGTTTATCTTTTAATCCCTGTGATGTAGTCACCATTCTTACCCCTTACTAGAGAAACTAAGGCACACAAGAGCCTAAGGTACCTGATAAAACCCCAAAGAAGAGTAGGATTGAACTTAGGTAGATTTCCTAGAATTTTATCTACTGCTTATAAACAGTATTGAGGGATTGTGCATAATATTCCGTTCTTTACCCGAGAAATGGTAAATGGTTGGGATGGGGTACCTTTGGGAGGTAACTCTAGTTCCTCTGTCCACAACAGAAGATGCAATGAATTTCCTCCCCAATGGTTCTATTAGGAACAAGACATCACCAGGAAACCAACAGCATGGGAAAAATACTTCCTTAGCCATAATGGCAAGATTTTGTTTTCAAAATGTAGTATTTAAAATTTTAGCTGTTGGGGTTGGGGATCAAGTTAGTGGTACAATGCTTCCCCAGCATGCCTGAGGCCTTGGGTTCAATACTCAGTACTGAAAAAAATTTTCAGGTATTATTAATTTTCTGCAATACTTTCTGAATAATTATTTTAAGGATTTGCTGTTGATCCATCTAGATTCTCACACATCCAGCTAAAAATACCTTTTTTTTTTTTTGCCATGCTAGGGATCAAACTCAATACCTCACAATGCTCTATTGACTCCTTAGATCAATGTTCTTTCATTTTATTAGGGAGGACACTGAAGTTTTGAACCTGATTTGGTTTATTTAAATCTCTCTTAGAGAACTCACCTTTGTCACCTCTGTTTGGATTCTGATAGTCATTCAGGCTCAAATATAGCCTGGACATTCAGATGTACTCAAGATAGGACTGTCCTCACTCTGCTCATGAGCATGACTTTCTCCCATTGCCTAGGTTTGGAGAGGTCATATGTATGTCATAGCCTCCCTCAGAACCTCGTGTTCTCACACTTAGTCAGAAGGGTCCCTGGATCTTTCCAGATACAGGACCATTATGCAATGAATATCCCTTAAAGACCATCCCACATCTTTACATGCACCACACACAGTCAAAAACAAAATAGCAACAGACAAAGAATGGAATCAAACAGAACAAAACTTGTATCGAGTGTGATTCTCATTACCTTAACTCAGTATAAAAAGAAATACTCCTTTTAAGCCAATATTCATTCCGAGGGCTTTGTCAAAGGCTGAAATCTTCTGACTTGGAGGAAAAATTTTTACTTCTCTAATTTGCCAGGGCATGATCATTGTCATCATTTTCTTTCCTTTCCAGGGACTAGAGACATGTGGCGAGCTTACTCTGACATGCGGGAAGCCAATTACAAAAATTCAGACAAGTACTTCCATGCCCGAGGGAACTATGATGCCGCCCGTAGGGGACCTGGGGGTGCCTGGGCTGCTAAAGTGATCAGGTAAGGCAGGTTCCCAGGGATGCCAGGCCTGGGTGAGCAGAGCTTGACTGCCTTGGATAGTCAGGAGGGGACTCTCTTCTGAGCAGCCAAGTTTCCCGTGGAGGCTGTGGCCCCTCCTCTTCTTGCCCATTCTCTGGAGCTTTTCTCTGAGTCAGTGCTTGATGTGGGCTCTGAGTGGCTGGTGGGCCTGAATGATTCCCAACCCTCCTTCTTGGGTGCTGTTCTTCTCAGGTTGACCAGCCTGGGCTGAGTAGGGCTGTGCCAGGGAGGGGCAGTATTTACCCCCCTTTCCTTGGCTTTCCTGAACTCTTCTCAGAGCCTTTACTTTGAAAGGGTGGGACTGTTGCTTATTAGCCCAATGATTAATCTCCTTCCTGCCTGCCTTGATTACAGTAATGCCAGAGAGAATATTCAGAGATTGACAGGCCATGGAGCAAAGGACTCAAAGGCTGACCAGTTTGCCAACGAATGGGGCCGGAGTGGCAAAGACCCCAATCACTTCAGACCTGCTGGCCTGCCTAAGAAGTACTGAGTGTCTTCTCTCTGCTCTCCAGAAATCTAGCTGTGAACTGACAGCAGAGAAATTTGTTGAAGTAGTTACTGAATTCTTTATGCCTAATACTAAAACACATAAAAGTGCTTAATAAATGCTCATGAAATCCAATTTGTCACTGTAATAAGAGCCTGTGATGGTGTTACTGGGAACATTGGCCATGGGGTGATCAGAAAACATCATTGTTTTGATTGTATAAAAAAAAAAAGAGATAAGGCACTAGTTTTAAAAAAAAAATTGGGGATAAAGTATATGTTCATACATGGGCCACAACATGGATCAACATAAGCCTATATTGTATATTCTGTAAATCGGATCCTATGGGCTGCTTCAGCATTAAAGTTTGAAACTAGAAACAAATAAATCAACACATTCTTAGAAAAATATAACTTACAAAGACAGAAGAAGAAAATGAAAATCTGGATCTCATTATTTTGAAAGATTGAATCTTCCCATAAAGAAATTCGTATGTCTAGATGGGTCTGTTTATCCCTTCAAAAAGGTAAATAGTTCCTATTTTGTACAAAAAATTCTAGAGTAGAAGAGAAATATTCCCCAACCTTTTCTACTAGGGTAGAAAAACCAACAGCAACAACAACAACAACAACACACACACACACACACACACACAGAATGAATTTAAAAAAAAAACCCAAAATACCCTGGGTTACTATGGATTGGCCCTGGCAGAGACCATCTCCAGGGTCAAAGTATATCCTGAGGTGATAATAATCCCCAAAGTCCTTGGCATCTTGGAGAGAGGTGTTTTCAGAAACCTTACACAGATCTTTCCCAAATCAGACCCTCTCCCTAGGACTTGTGGTCCACACGTCTGTTTTTAGTAGACTGATTCTAGGCTTCACATTCAGGCGGCTTCTCTCTCTAGTCATATGTTCTTTGCCCTTCGCGGCCTCCCAGGATTCTGAGTTCCACATTGTTCTCTCTCCTTGCCATAGAGGCCTAGTTCCAGGAATCTCTCTTCTCGCCCATCCTCTCCTACCTGAAACCAATGTTGACCACTCCTGGTTCGTGATATTAAGAAATGCCACTTAAAGATATTTCCCTTCTCTCTGGCCATACTATTTTTTTTTAAAACTGAAGATGGAACCCAGGGGTACTTTACCTAACTAAGCCACATTCCCAGCCAGTTTTATTTTTAGTTTGAGACAGGGTCTTGTTAATTTGCTACAGCCTTGCTAAGTTGCTGAAGCTAGCCTCAAACTTGCAATCCTTCTGCCTCAGCCTCCAGAGTTGCTGGGTTTACAGGTGTGAATGACCGCACTGGGTTATCCCCACTTCTTCACTCAGGCCATGTTCCATTCTCAGTGCCTACTATCTGGAACCGTGAATGCCTCCCCAACACTCTCTTCAGGCCTTCTTGAGAATCTGTGTCCTCCCTGGTCAAAATCAGTGGTAGATATGTTAGTTCTCCTGATGATTGGTCTTCTGACACTAGTTAATAGAAGAATAACATGATAACTACTTGGCTTCCATTCATGTCAAGATGACTATGGGTCAGGCACTCCTCTAAGTGCTTTCTTGTGTTATCCCGTTGGATCTTCACACTTTGATTATCCCTCTAGGGGAAATTGAGGTACAAATAGTTTAAATAACATATCCAAATCACATTGCTAATTTAATGCTAGAGCCAACATTCTTTTTTTAAAATTTTTTTATTGTTGGTTGTTCAAAACATTACATAGTTCTTGATATATCATATTTCACACTTTGATTCAAGTGGGTTATGAACTCCCATTTTTACCCCGTATACAGATTGCAGAATCACATCAGTTACACATCCATTGATTTACATATTGCCATACTAGTGTCTGTTGTATTCTGCTGCCTTTCCTATCCTCTACTATCCCCCATCCCCTCCCCTCCCCTCCCCTCCCCTCCCCTCTTCTCTCTCTACCCCCTGTACTGTCATTCATAGAGAAGGGAAATTGCATGGAAATGGAGCCAACATTCTTTTTAAAAAATTTTTTATTTATACATGGACACAATATCTTTATTTTTGTTTATTTATTTTTATGTGATACTGAGGATCGAACCCAGTGCCTCACTTGTATGAGGCAAGCGCTCTGCCACTGAGCCACAATGCCAGCCCAAACATTCTTAACTATTGCTGCAACTTGCAACTGTATTGAAATTGACAGTTTATAAAACACCTTTGTAGGCTTGAAGTATAACTTGGTGGTACAATAGTTGCTTAGCATGCTCAAGGCTCTGGGTTCAAACCTTAGCACTGCAAACACCAACAAGAACCAAGCCAAAAAATCCACCATCTTTACACATATTAGTTCACTCAAATCATTCCTTCAATGAATGTATTCTATGTACCACCCAGGTATCTATGAATTCTATACTAAATCTATATGGTGAAAGGGAGGTAGCACTAAGGGGCTGAGGAAGAAGAAGACATGTTGGGGGAAGTTATGTCACTATATTAGTGCAACCATAGCATGATAGAGGGGGTTGCATATGAAGAATGCATAACATACACACAAAATCAACTTTAAATACCTGCTAGGCACAGAGAACATGGAACTTGTGTTTTTATTTAGGATCAAAGTGAAAGAAGGACTTTGCAGGGGAAAGGAGACAAAAATCCAGCAGCTTTCTGATTACAAAAGTAGTTCTGTTTGATTAGCATGATGATGACATGGCAGGGTGTCATAACCCAGGGTTATGCTAAATCCAATTCTGTGCACCTGAGATCCCAAAAGAAAAAGAAAATGTACAAGACTCATATGTGAGAATCTGACTTGAATAAAACTTGGGAAACACAAGGAGGTTATCATAGCCATATCAATAACTTGCAAATGACTTTAGATTGGCATCTTCTTTTTAAAAATCATTTTTATTTTATTAAGAATTTTAAAAACCACAAGTAGATGTTAAATTTGGATCAGTCATGTAGATTAAACCAGTAACTATTGAATTACTCTCCTACATCAACATGATGGTTGATAAATACAAGCTATATGCAAGTATGTAACAAAAGTTTTAGGAAACAATATACTTGTGTTTGTGTGTAATTAAAATAAAAGTTTTGTGAAACAATGAAACATTTTGAATACACAATAGCCTCTGACATTTTTCTCTTCTTGCTGGTCTAGCTTGTATCTTTAAAAATTTTTGGTAATGACCCATGACATTGACATCAAAGCTCAAAAATGCCCAGGCACAGTGGTAGACAGCTGTAATTCCAGCTACTTGGGATGCTGAGGCAGGAGAATTGCAAGTATAAGGCCAGACTGAGCAATGTAGTGAGAACTTGTGTCAAAATAAAAATCAAAAAGGACTGGGGATGCAGCTCATTGATACAGCATTTGTCTACCATGCATAGGTCCCTGGGATTGATCCCTATCACAAACACACACACACACACACACACACACACACACACACACAGAGAGAGAGAGAGAGAGAGAGCGCTCAAAAATGGATTGCCACTTATGGGGAGGTGGCTAGCACTTCTTTAGGGGGTTCTTCTTCCTGATAAGGAGGGTATAAGCCTCCTGAGAAATTAAAGTCTAGAATAATCAGTAAAGAATAAAACACAAAGTCAGAATTAGGTTTAAAGAATTGGAGCACCTGATAGGCCCAGTCTACACAAGAGCTGGAGCTAAACAATTAGAAAATGGCTCCCATGGTTTATTTAAGGGAGTGCATAAAAAGCAGAGGTAAGGTTTCAAGGGTGAAGTCTTGCTTCATGATGTCTTGCAGTCAGTAGGTTGATTGGCATCTTGGCAGGTCACACCCATCTCAGAGGGGCTGTGTGATTGTAGCAGGTCACCCCATTTCCAGAGCTGTATGGGACCTGACAGAGCTGAATAGGGCTCCCAAAGTGTCTGGGCAGTCTTACACAGAGGAAATGTCCACTAGAAGTTCCCAGACACCAGATTTCCCTGTCCAATTAGGCTGCAATGTGTGACAATCCACACACAGTCCCCGGATGGCTCGCGACAGCCACTCTTGAAAATTATTAGTTTTATCAAATTTTTCTAGAAAGTAATTGTGCTAATATGAAGTGAACCATTTACTATATGAAAGTTTCCATTTCTCTCTAATCTCATCTGTACTTAGAATTGCCATATTTAAAAGATTTTTCCAACCTTGTAGATGTAAACTAATAATTTATATTTCTATGATTTAATTTTTTTAAAAATATTTATTTATTTATTTATTTTTTAGTTTTCGGCAGGCACAACATCTTTGTTTGTATGTGGTGCTGAGGATCGAACCCGGGCCGCACGCATGCCAGGCGAGCGTGCTACCGCTTGAGCCACATCCCCAGCCCCATTTCTATGATTTTAAATAAATCAGAATTGAGTATCTCTTCATATATTTCCTTCGGTTTTATTTCCTGCTTTGTTAATTCAACTTCTCTGGCTGTACATGAAGTAGAGTCACACCATTTGTGCAATCATACATTTACCTAGGGTAATGATGTCCGTTTCATTTCACCATCTTTCCTACCCCTTCCCCCTACCCATTGCCCCATCCAAAGTTCCTCCACTCATCACATGTCCCCACCCCCCCAATTATGGATTAGCATCCACTTATCAGAACAAACATTTGGCCCCTTTTGGGGGGGATTGTCTTATTTTGCTTAGCATGATATTGTCCAACTCCATTCATTTACCTGCAAATGCCATAATTTTATTCTCTTTTGATGTTGAGTAATATTCCATTATGAATACGAACCACGATTTCTTTATCCATTCATCTACTGAAGGGTGTCTAGGTTGGTTCCATAGTTTAGCAATTGTGAATTGTGCTGTTGTAAACATTAATGTGGCTGTGTCACTGTAGTATACTGTTTTTAAGTCCTTTGGGTATAGACCAAGGAGGGGGATAGCTAGATCAAATCCAACCAGAATCTTTTAAAAACCAATTTATCTCATTTTACATTGAACAAAAGTTCAAAATGTAGCAATCTTTTGCATTAAGGCTCTTGCTTTGCATATTTTCAGCAAATCATTTCTATCTCTGAGATAATAATAAAATGAGTCCCCTACAATTCCTTCTAAAATCTTTAACATTTGACTTTTTAGTTTACTTTAGAACATTTAGTTCTCAATTCACTCAAATTTGGATTTTGTCAAATATTTAGTTTTATTTTATTTTTTCCATTTGGATATCTGGTTTCCTATTACTAATCCTTGAGTAATCCATCAGGTTGCTATTGTCTGCAATCTCACTTCTATAGCATTTCAAGTCTCCCCCTGTGCAAGGGAGGGTGGTGGGACCCATTTCAATCACCTACATTTCTACCTTTGTACCAACACCACACTGTATTCCAAGTATTGATAGATAACAACATCCCACATTCCTTGCTTTGTTTTTCTCCCTAGTATATATTACTTTCTTACATGCTGTGTTTAGTCATCCATTGCTGTGGTAATAAGCCATCCTGAAACTTAGTGCCTAAGACAAGGACTTGCTACTTTTCACAATTCTATGGGTTAGGCAAGAGTTTCTTTTGCTGATCTTACCAGGACTCCTATACTCAATTGGAAGGTTGGCAGGCACTGGAGCTGGACCCATCTTGAACAGCTAAGACTCTTGGGTCTCTATCTCCACTGGCCTTTATTACTAAGGAGACAAGACTGGATATTTACACGGTAGTAGTGCCCCAAAAAGGTGGGCCCCAGGAGGCACAAGCATTCACCAAACGTCTTCTTGTATCACATTTGCTGCTATCCTATTGGACAAAAAAGTCACATGACAAAAGCAGAGTGAGTGAGGTTTGGTTGTCTTCTCCTATTAGAATGCAAGGGCCACAACAGCTGGAATTTTTCTATTTTCTTCACTGCTATAACCCCAATGCCTAGAACAATGCCTGGCACATAATTCTTGAGTAATCCATCCAGTTGTTATTGTCTGCAATCTCACTCAATCTTACTCTTTTTCCAGCTATTTATGTTTTTTTGATTTTTGGTCCTCTATACATGAAGCATAATCAATCAGAGCTCATCACAATCTTACTCCAAAGCTTACCACAGAGAATAATGCTCAGCTTTTATTTCAGAAGTTTTAAGGGAATGGGCATATCTTTACAGAGCCAGGAGTACCCTACAAACAAATATTGCTCAGTACTAAATTACCTGGCCCAAAACTTCAGAATAATTCTGGACAATTTATCTGTGCATGTCCAGAGATCCAGTCTCTTCTGGGAGATCTAGTCATAATTTCCAGCTCAGTTAAATACTCTTGAAAATGAACTATAGTCATGTTGATGCTTTAAATATATCAGTGGTAACCCTTGGTATAGGAATGAGCTATATCAAATTTTCTAGTTGTGCTGTCTGCATACAGATGCTGCATAGGGTTTAGGATCCATGATGCTTATTAGGGATCAACACCAGTACAAGGAAAGTCAGGAGAGAAGCAGTAGAAGTATTGTGCAGCTTTGACAACCTGGCAGGGAGCCTGGGTGGGAGCGTTGCCTCCAGGTTGTTCAACATTAGGTTGAACCAACTAGGTCTTTGTACCACATCCCCCATCTCCCTCAACTGCCTTGCTCAGTAACCACATGAGGGCTGTTCTGAGAAGGATGGGACCTCTTTGCAGCTGAGGCCACCCTGAAGGAACTGACTACTGAGTGCAGGCTGCTGACTCACCCCCTATATTTGGGCGGCAAGTCTTTCCTTGAAGGGCATCTGGGCACACAATTCCATGTCTCCTTCCTGAGACTCTGAATTGATTATAACACTCTTTTTAAAAATTATATTTTTAGGTATAGATGGAGACAATACCTTTATTTTGTTTATTTAGTTTTATGTGGTGTTGAGGATTGAACCTAGGGCCTCACACATGCTAGGCTGTTACTCTACCACTGAGTTACAACCCCAGCCCATGATTATTATAACACTCTTGTTCTATCAATTACTAGACTCTGTGGAAGGTTTGTTATTTACAGGGCTTGGTGGCAATTTTTGATTGGTGCTTTTGTAGATCCTACAAAGATTATAATCTTAATCCTTTTGATTTTACTGCTACCAGAGGTACCTGGTTTTTTTTTGTTGTTGTTTGCTTTTTTGCTGTTGTAGTTGATTGGAGGTAGGTTTTATTGATGGGTATGATTAAGAAATCATAGCACTGCACAGTAGAAGCCCAGGGGACTGCTATTAGGGATGCATTTGACACTACTATTATTCCAGATGAACCATTTTTCAGTTACCTTATCTTCAAATTCATCTGCATTGAAATTGATAAAGCCACACTACTTTAAAATGCAGATTTTCTGGTGGACAGGGAACTTGAACTTGGCCCTGTGTAGGGCTTCAGTCACATGTTCCTTGTTTTGCAATACGGTGAGAATGACCATGATGACTTGGCCAGTGTGAACTCTGGCTGCCATGCCCTGGAACCCCAAAAGACACACTGAACATTTGTGTGGAGCCTAGATTTGGAACAGCATGAGGCCAAAGACATGACAAGTTTAGTAAGAGGACAGTGGGCATTCCTCATACAGTGACATTCTTTGAAATTCTCCCAGGGTTTAGGTTACTCCTTTAGTCCTCCCCACAGTTCTGTGAGGGAAGCATTCTCCCTGCAGTATGGTTTCTGGGGTGATATTTATGCCTCCTGATACTTCAGAAATACTATTGGTCTTTGTCCTTTCTAATTGTTAGCATAGGTTGTGCCTGAGTATTTAAAATACAGTAGGGTCCCCTCTGTAATTTTGTTTTCTGCATTTTCAGTTATCTGTAGTGAACTGTGGCCTGAAAATATTAAATGGAGATTCCCCCAAATTAATAATTTATACGTTTCAAATCATACACCAGTCTGAGTAGTGTCATAAAGTTGTTCCACTCTGGTGAATCACACCTTTTTCCAGTGTATCCACATCATATATGCAATCCACTACTTAGTCACTTTTTACTCTTCTTGGTTATTAGATCAACTGTCTCAGATAGCAGTACTTATATTCAAATGACCCGTACGTCATGATCTAATGCTGTATCATGAAACCTATGTCATTCACCCCACTTCATCTCACCTTGTAGGCAGTGTGTCATCTCACATTACCACAAGAAGAAAATGGGTGAATATGGAGCAATATTTTGCGAAAAAGACCACACTTAGATTACTTTTATAGCAGTATCTTGTTATAATAGTTCTATTTTTATTGTTAATTATTATTGCTACTCTTTTTGTGCCTAATTTATAAATTAAATTTCATCACAGGTATGTATGTATATAAGAACATGATATACATAGGATTTGGTACTATCTACATTTTCATACATCTGCTGGGGAACTTGGAAAATATATCCCTGTGGATAAGGGGGGAAACAGTATATTAAAATGCACACTTTTTTTTTTTTTTTTTGGTACTGGGAAGTGAACTCAGGTGTACTTGACCACTGAGACACATCTCCAGTCCTATTTTATAACTTATTTAGAGACAGGGCCTTACTGAGTTGCTTAGCGCCTTGCTGTTGCAGAGGCTGACTTTGAACTCCTGATCCTCCAGCCTCAGCCTCACAGCTGCTGGGATTACAGGCGTGCACCACCGCGCGGGGCTCACACATTATATTTTAAATTAATTTGATGTCCTCTAATTGTTAGGTTATTATATTAATATTTTTGAAATTACATGTGGAAACCTATAAATTTAATTTCATTAAATTAAAATGGGGGGACTGGGTTGTGGCTCAGTGGTAGAGCACTTGCCTAGCACAAGTGAGGCACTGGGTTCGATCCTCACCACATAAAAATAAATAAAATATGTTCCATCTATACTAAAAATATTTTTTAAAAAATTAAAATGGCTGCTGTAAAATATTTGCTGAGAAGGAGTTGGAATATTGACATTTTTGCTGTCGACTTTTGTCTTTCCTGCAAATCCAATCACACCTGAGAGAGGAATGAATAATTATGGATGGATGTCTTTTAAGAATAGCAACGGTGGAGAGAGATGGATGATTCTAGCTGTCAGAGAAGGCAAGTGGAATAGGTCCGATAGTTCAAGATTCGGGTCTGTATCAGAAACACTGGCCTATTCTCTTCCTCCCCTCCTCCAGTCAGACTAAAATTTCCTGGAGAAACGGAATACTTTGTCCAGAGAGGGTGACAAGTAACAATCATGAGTCCGGTGGGTCACATTCCACTTTTTGGGCGGGTCCTTTGGCCGGGCGGGCTTCGAGCAGCAGGGGGCGCTGTGTCAGGAGCCGCGCCAGGCGCGCTGGGCCCTCTAGCGTGAGGAGACCTTTCCTCTCCTCCCCGGCTTCCGGCGCGGCTCCCGGGCGCTGTCGGCGCGCTCAGTCATGGACCGCAACCCCTCACCGCCGCCTCCCAGTCGGGACGAGAAGGAGCATGAGGAGACTGCTGCAGGAGACTGCATTGGGAGCACGGTCTACAGCAAACACTGGCTCTTTGGCGTCCTCAGCGGGCTCATCCAGGTGTGGAAATCGCGCTCGCTGGGGCTGCCCCTCAGGTGGTTCGGCCCGGTAGCTGGCAGCCCCTCGGGCTCCGGGAGCCACCAAATCCCCCGACGACCCCTTCCCAAGCGTGCGCTCGGCAAATGGCGCCTCACAACCTCAGCTGACCCGCAAACTGCCTGGGGCCACTTTGGTGCGCCTGACGCCAAGAAATGTTTGGTGTCAGGGATGTCGGGACGTTTGCACTTACCGTAATTTTTCAAGTTCTCCAAAGACATAGAACTATGCTCCCCAGCCCCATTGTCATTTCTGAAGCCCAAGCCTTAAAATTTATATGATTCATGGACTTTTTTTGTAGAATAAATGGATGTCAAAGATGTAGCCTCATCATCTACTAACTGTATTTCTTTGGGCAAGTCACCTAACCACCAAGAACTTTGATTTCTCAGGCAATTTCTATAAAATAGGATGATAATATCTATAATATCATATATAGAGTTTTTATATAGGTTAAGTGACATAATGATCATAGAGTGCCCACCATGGTTTTTGGCTTATAGGAGACTCAGTAAATGTAAGGTTTTTTTCCTCTCCGCATCTCAACTAGATTCCCCTCTTCCAATTTGTGTCCTTTCCTGTCTTTTTTCTACACAGCTTCCAGAATAATCTTCCTTAAGACAAAAAAAAAAAAAAGTTGTTGCTACTCCTCTTAGTTCTTGTTTGACTGTTGAAGCAAAATGCATATTTCTTAGCTTGGAATCCAGAGTTTTTTGCAGCCTCTCCAGGCTTCTCTGCTCATGGTACAGTGTGTTCCATCAACAGCAAACTGTACACCATTCCCCAAATGCTAGGCACTTTCTTAACTCTGATTCTTATCTCTGAATGCTCTTATCTTTTTCACCTGACAAACTCCTATTTTCCCTCCAAGATTTAGCTAAAATATCACCTCCTAAAAGGAGTGACTCCCAGCTTCTCTCAGGAATAGGTAATTGGTCCATCATAGGTCCTACTCCAACTCTTAGTTCATAATTCAGTTGAGTCATAAAATTTTTGTGACTATCAATTTACATGTCTTATCCCCACTAATCCTAAAATGCATGAAAGCAGGGATTACATCTTATTTATCCCAGTTTTCTAGCAACAGTATTTGATCCATAAGTGTTGAGTGAATAGAACTACCCAAGGCATTAATTTTTAAAACAAGATGTTTGTGAGAGAAGATACTTTGAGGAGAGTCTCTGGACTTTTAAGTGGTTGTGGGATATATTAGTTACGAAGTACTATAGAAAATTTTTATTTTTTTCTTTTCTTTTGAAGATTGTTAGACCTCAAAACACCAAATCTGGCTCAGATGATGAGGAGCAGCAGATGGAGCTTGATGAAGAAATGGAGAATGAAATTTGCAGAGTATGGGATATGTCAATGGATGAGGTATGAGGTTAGAGATGAAACATTGAAATTTCAGACTCTTAGGTGAGAAGGTGGTGAGTGGATTTTTAGAATAGGTTCAGTCCTTCACTCTCTGAGCAAAGGCTTTCTTGAGTGTCTGTAGTTACTTGAATATATGGTTCAAGGAATAGTCCCAGAAGCTATGAATGCTAAAAATTTGTCTCTGAAAATATGTGCAATTGTCCTGTGAATATCACAGAATGTACTTAAACCCACTAAGATACCTATGATATCACTAGACAATTAATTTTATGCGACCATCATCCTATAGGTAGTCTGTCACTGACTGAAACATCATTGTGTGGCATATGACTCTTTAACAATTCACATCCCCACCTTCCATAGTTAACTAATTTAGTTATTGCATTTCACATTCTTTGGCAGGATTTGGCCTTTTTGGGATCACATGTCAACTCCAGGTTTGTGTAGTGTACCCCTGTTTGGCATTGTAGACTAAGCAAACTCACTCTTATAATTATATTGTGATCAGAATTTTTTCTACTGAGAATTTTGAAAATACAAATTCTGATTTTTTAAAAAATGTTTTTTGTTATAGATGGACACAATACCTTTATTTAATTTACTTATTTTTTTATGTGGTGCTGAGGATTGAACCCAGTGCCTCACACATGCTAGGCAAGTGCTCTACCACTTAGCTACAACCCCAACCCCCAAGTTCTGATTTTTTAATATGACCCAATAGCTGTTCTCACCTGTTTACTTTATTGTGTCTTAAGCCTTGGAGGATAGGAATTAGGATTTTTCCTTTAACATTAGCTTCTGACAAAATTAGCAAGTGTGTTTGACTAAGTTATTGAGAATTCCTGATATGTAAATATAATCAGGGCAGAATAAAAGGAGGACAATTCTCCAGAGTATCACAGTGAGTTTAGATTTGTTTATGGAATTATTCCATTGTCTTGAGACCAAATACCACAAAAACTTTCTAACCTTGCTTTTATCTGTTGCCACAGTTCCTCACCTAACCTTGTAACTTGTGGGTTTTTTTCTCTCTTGTGTCCTAATGGTAGTATATATGAAATTAAATTTTTTTATAGTTGCCTTAGCTATGGAGTTTAAAGAAGAATATTCAGCATCCAAGTTAACATTCATTTTTGTTTATAGGATGTGGCTTTATTTCTCCAAGAATTTAAGGCTCCGGACATATTTATGGGAGTACTGGCCAGATCCAAGTGTCCTCGATTAAGAGTAAGTATACATTTCATTTTTTTCACTTTGATTTTCTTACTGTCTATAAACCAATAATATCAGTCTGTAAATGTTTATTGAACATTACTAGGTAATGTACTACTTAAAATTATTAGAGCCATAGAATTTTAGATTTGGACTGGATTAGGGAGATCAATAGTTTCATTTAACAATTGTAGAAACTAGATAGATATAACTATGTTATGCGGCTAATTTGTGACAAACAGAGAACAGTTCCTGGACCTCCTGTTTCTCAGTTCATTGTTCTTTTTCACTCAAAAGCTTCCATTGCTTAAGAGCCATTCTAAACTTAGCCTGTTGCTTAAGACTTCCACAATCTGAACCTGAATCATCTTTCTAGCATAAAATCTACCTTCCAGTTCAAAGCCAGCCTCAGCAAAAGTGAGGTGCCAAGCAACACAGTGAGACCCTATTTCTAAATAAAATACAAAATAGGGCTGGGGGTGTGTCTCAGCGGTCAAGTCCCTCTAAGTTCAATTCCTGGCACCCCCCCCCCCCCCCCCAAAAAAAAAAATCTACTGTCTAGATGGTCCTAATTTGGATAGGTCTGTCTGCATTCCATCTCACCAGCTTATTGTGATGGCCATCTCTTTGTGTGCCCTCTGTCTCCTCTCAGTGTTCATATCAATTACTCAAAGTAGTTTTTTTTTCTTCCATGCCTTTCCAAATAAGTAAGATCTTAGTAGTTATTGTTGATAGTAAATTCCTAAGAATAATAGATAAAAACTAAATGAGAGGTCTTTATTTATGTAATGTTAAATGTCCTGTGCTTTATTGCCATTTAAGTTGCCATGTGCTATCCATATGATGGATGTATTTGTTGAATAATTTAATTATAAATAATTATTATTTACAGAGCATTTGGTTTTACTACTCCTATGAGGCATACTTTATAGACAACTGTGTCTCGGGTTGTGTCCAAGGCCACAAAACTAATTAAGAATGAAGTTGGGATTTGAATCTAGGCCTGACTCCAGTATAACACAGTACTGAATTGCTTTTCTTTCTTTGAGATTTCAAAGAATGGAATTCTGTAGAATATTTTTATGAATTGAATGTTGAATTAAAATTTTTATCTTATAAAATGTTCTACCTGAATTGGGTACTGATGAACCAGTATTTCCTTGGATCCTTATACTAATAGAAGAATTTGACAATTTTGTGTTATTTCTCTTAATTTTTCTATCTTAAATATGTTGACTCATAATTATTTAAGAAATAAACATGTCAGAAATGGCACCTTTCAGGAATTAGTCATATTGTTGAATGTGTCTTCTAGCCACAGCCTACTACAGCAGTAATTGTCTTGAGACCAAATACCACAGGTTCTCAAACTTTAGCACGTTCTCAAACTGGTGCAACATTCCTAACTTTCTTCAATCCCAGATCACTGATTGCTGAGCCTACCTCCCGAGTTTCTGATCGACTTTGTTAGGGTTCATATATACTTCCAAGTGACACTAGTGCTCTACAGCAGAATCATAGGTTGAGAAGCTTTGTTGAAGGAATTTTTAAAAATCCTGTCATTCAGGCTGTATCTCCATGCATGCTGCACTCAACAACTTTTTTGTTTTTTAATACCAAGGATTGAACTCAAGGGCACTCAACCACTGAGCCACATCCCCAGCCCTTTTCTGTCACTTTCATTGGCTGCTTTCTTTCTGTACCCTGGTATGAACTCTTTCTTAGATCCAGAACCCAGTCTTTTGTTTTTTTAATATTCGTTTCCTCATTTTACACTTGTATATTACAGCTCTGTATTGTGGGTTCAAAAAACCTGACTTCTATCTAGTAACTGGTGTCACATCTCTAACTTTCTTCAGGCATTTTCTACTTGCATGCTGCATTTTCTAATCCCAGATTTCATATGTTCTAACTCAGTGATTATCACATTTACCTGATCATAAAAACCACCTGGTGTGCTTGGTAAACATTAACTTCTGAGGCTCTATGCTAGACATTCAGATTCAGTTGATCTAGATGGGACTTGGAAGTCAGTATTGTTAACAAACCCCCTGAGCAAATCTCATGTTCTAGCAAGTATACTGTGCTGCATGAACTCATTGTGTCCTTTTATACAATTTTCTTTTTTCAGTTTTCCTGTTAATGGAATCAATCTCTGGGGAAATGAAGCAACTTGAAATCTATGAGTCATGTTCAACTGCTTTCTCCTTTACTTTCCAATAGATTTTTTTGCTTTCACTCTGAGAGTCTTCCTTATCTTCATCTTTTTCCATGCCTGCATCACTATCCTCATCCATCACAGCCCTAATCTTTTTGCATCTTGACTACTGAGGTGTGCAGGAAGAAATACTGGTTGAATGTTGCTTGACTTTCCCTATCTGAAGGATGGGAATAATAGTAATACCTACCTCATAAATTATATGAAATAACATGTAATGGCTTCTTAATAAGTGCTAATAAATAGGTTTTTTTTTTTTTTGTATATGTCTTTTTATCTCAGAACCATTGTGACCTGTGAAATTTGCTTTGGCAGGAAATCTGTGTGGGGATTTTAGGTAATATGGCCTGTTTCCAAGAGATATGTGTGTCCATCAGCAGTGATAAAAATCTTGGGTAAGTCTTATCATGATAATTATATTTTAAAAATGGATTCATATTTTATATCCCTAAGGAAATGAGAGATGAGAAAATGTGAAAGATAATGTTGTTGATGAACATGCTGCAGGAACTTCATTGCATGTTAATGGTAGCTAGGGACTTCCACACTTGCATATGGGCATGATTCAGGAGTTAAGCCAGTTTATTCTTTATGAATATCAAAGGGACCTGAGTGCAGATGTAAGCAGGCCAGAAGAAGGATCCATGAGGTCAAACTTGGAGATGGGGGCAGTGAATCAGAATCTAAAACAATGTAGGCATAGGGAGTGCAAGGCCTCCAGAGATCCAGAGTTTAGGAAACTAGATTTGTTAAACAGTGTCACTCTGAGAGCTTTCACTTAGATCAGGGAGCAGAACTTACCAACAGACTAGAAGATAAAAGATTGACTCTGTGATTAAAGGCTTTCGTATTTCTGCTTGGAGGCTAGTTCTCTTCTATAGCCAGGAAAGTTTTCGGCAGAAGGTTTTTCAATGGGGGAAACCTTGGTGAAATTACATGCTAAATTTGATGAATGTATTCATTTTCTCAATATAGGGTACATGGCTGTTATTCAGGATCTAAAAGAAATTTGTATCCAAAATGGCTAAGGAGACTGTTCTAGACAGTTTTTGACAGAGATGGGGTTATGTAAGTTTATCATAGGATGCAAGTACCTGAGTCTCTGGAAGAAGTTGGTTTTTGTCTTCAAGGTGTGGAGAGATTTAAGATACTAGTTCAAAGTATTTATTTCTCACTAATTTATAATCATTCATGGAGTAGATGTCTCAGGATTGCATTTCATCTCTAGCATTCCCTATCAAAAATCTGATAATGAAAAATGTTAACATGTCTTTTAAATTCAATTAATGTTTATCTTAAAATTCGTATAGAACAGTTTATATTGCTAAAGGGATATGAATTTGTTCAGTTTGAGAACATATGACCAAGGCTGGTGCAGTGGCACTCACCTGTAATCCCAGTGACTTGGGAAGTGAAGGCAGGAGGATCACAAGTTCAAAGCCAGCCTCAGCAACTTAATGAGGCCCTCTGTACCTTAGAAAGACCTTGCTTTAAAATAAAAAATAGGGCTAGGGATGTGGATCAGTGGTTAAGTACCCCTGGGCTCAATCCCCAGTACCAGAAAAGAAAAAGAACAATTGAGTACTTCTAGTCAGATTGGAAGATATGCATATGCTATGACACAAGAATGCCACTCATAGGTATGTAGTAAGAAAAACTGCACATGTACATTAGGATACACATATACTATCATTATTATTATCATCTTTTGGAGCTGGGATTGAATCCAGGGCCTCATGAATGTTAGGCAGGTGTTCTGCTATTGAGCTATACCCCCAACTCCTTTACACAAACATTATTTCAGAAGTATTGTTTGAAATAACCCCAAATTGAAATAGACTCAGTGTCCATCAGCAGTAGTCTGGAATAATAAGTTAGGATATATTCATACAACTGAATGCTCTGCAGCAGTGACTTAAAGAACAGCTGCCAACTCTGCTGGAAACAAGCAGGTATGCTTTACCCTTTTTGTGGGTTCCATGATTTCCTACACATGATTTTGAGCAAAACTTGGACTTAAGAATATGTACATGTGCATTGAAGTGTCCTACTATACCTTGTAAGTATGTACAATTATGTGTCAAAGACAAATAGATGGATAGATGAAGTTTTTTAAGGAAAAAAATATATAATTTCTTTCATATAAAGTTCAAAAGCAAAACTAAAAACTATAAAATAATAAAACTGTAGAACAGGAATTGGTTGCTGGAAAAATTGGTATTTCCTTTTCTAGATGGGAAAGAGAACTGATTCAGAATAAGATACATAGGGGTCATGGATATGCACCATTCTTCTCTTTCTTGGAAACACAAACATTTTAGCATGTGTGAGATGCTGGGTTCGATTCTTAGCACCACACATAAATAAAATAAATAAATAAAGGCCCATCAACTACTAAAAAAATATTTTAAAAAATTAATAACTTAAAAATAAACATGAACATTTCCTTTATAATTCATTGACTGTAGATTTGTATTTTAATAGGCCTTTCTGCATATATGCTTTCTTTCATAGTAAAAATGTTTAAAAAATTAAATGAAAATTCTGATGTTTGAAATGAGAGATGTGAAGCATATGGACTTTTGTTTTGTAGGCAAGTGTTATTGCACTGTTTGTATGATTCAGACCCGCCTACTCTGCTGGAAACAAGCAGGTATGCTTTTCTTTTTTGTGGGTTCCATGAAATCACCCATAAGGGAATCTAGGAAAATAGAGTTAATTCTTGATTCTTAAATTTCCTATACTGTTTTTGGAAGATAGACATTAAGTTGACATTTATCATGTAGGTTGTTGCTTACTTGCCTTTCCCAGACAGAAGTGGCCAGTGTCTGGGTTGAAAGGATACGAGAACAACCAGCTATTTATGATAGCATTTGTTTCATCATGTCAAGCTCAACAAATGGTAAGTCACCATGTAATCTAGAAAAAATGTTTTAGAATACATTTAATTATTAGGAAAACATGTTACTATTTCTGGAAGTCATGTTTTTAAAAAGGCTAAATGCAAGAAAAAGTTTTTTGATTTAAGGAGTAAAATTGCTTCTGAAACTCCCAGGACACTGATAAATTTTCTGCTTACTGAAGGAAGATAATCATTTTAAACATAAGAGATAAACAGATCACCCTTAGAATAAGTACTGTCTTGGCAAGATATGTCTTTTGGAATAGCTTTACGAATTTTGCTTAACCTTATTGCTTTAAACATTAAAAAAATTTTTTTTAATTGTTGATGGACCTTTATTTAATTAATTTATTTATATGCAGTGCAGAGAATCGAACTCAGTACCTCACACTTGCTAGGCGAGCGCTCTAAGCTACAACTCCAGCCCTGCAACATTCTCATTTTTATTTCAATACTTGTTTTATTTTCTTCAGTTGACTTGCTGGTGAAAGTGGGGGAGGTTGTGGACAAGCTCTTTGATTTGGATGAGAAACTAATGTTGGAATGGATTAGAAATGGGGTTGCTCAGCCTTTGGGCCAACTCCAGGAAGATTCTGAAGAGCAGCCAGTATTTAGGATTGTGCCCTGTGTACTTGAAGCTGCCAAACAATTACGGTAAGTGAGCTTTTTTGTGCAAAATGTTCTGGAAAAGCCAACTGCTAGAAGTAGCCTTAGATATAGAAGTTTCTTTTTGATAGGATGAAGTGTACACATAGTCTTCGTTAGGTTTGATTCCCTACCAATATTTAGGGTGGCAGAATATTTATTCTTTGCAAGAATCATAATGGTTCAAAATACTTGTTTTAATATCATCTAGTTATAGGTGATTGTTCAGCAATAATTGTGGTTACTTTCCTAACTTCACCAGCAATTTTATGTAATTTAGATCAAAGAGAAAGGTTTTCTTGTGTTTCATTTTACATTGAACATTTAACAACTTCCATTAATTTTTTTTTTTTTTTATTGGTTGTTCAAAACATTTCCATTAATGTTATCAACATTTGTTTTCTTGTTCCTTGCCCCTTTTGTAGGTACACCAATCTGGAAAGGTGATTGATTTGGGCAGTTTGTTGTCTTGCCATGAGAAATTATTAGTTCTTACATGTCACTGAAACTATTTACTATTAGTCACTAGAATAATTGATATTTTATATAAGCAGCTATTAATCTGCTTAGTGGTTACTATTGCATTCTTAGTGCTCTTAGGCCACATGAAAAGCTATTAATTTTATGTCCTTTACTAAGTGAAGATTAAACTTTTCATTCTTCCTCCAAATCTGCTTCTTTAGTATTTTCAATCAGTAAATGATGCAGTTATTATCCTCTTTGAATATGTTGAAGAAATAGTGAAGCTACTGACTCTTCCTACCCCACTCTTTTTCTACAACCAGTCAACTTTCAAGTCATGGTCCTGACTTTTTCCGGGATCCCATTTGTGCCAGCCAGGCTCTGTGTCTCTCACCTGGACAATTGCCACATTCTGTTACCTGTTTTTCCTGGTTTTAGGGATTGCTTCTTCCCAGACTGATCTTTTTATAGTACTGGGGATTGACCCCAGGGGCGCTTAACCACTGAGCCACATCCCCAACCCTCTTTTTTATTTTTTATCTAGAGACTCAGTCTTGCTGAGTTGCTTAGGATCTTGCTTAGTCGCTGAGGCTGGCTTTGACCTCACGATCCTCCTTCCTCAGCGTCCTAAGCCACTGGTATTATAGGTGTGTGCCACTGTACCTCGCTATCCAAGACTAGTCTTTAAAGCTGTCTTTGCAAAGTACTCATTTATCATCTCATTGACATTCTTCAAACTTTTCAGTTGCCCTTCTTAGGATAAGGTCCATATTTTTAAAAAAACATGGTGTATGGCCCTGAAAAATGCCTTTCTGTTTTGGTTCCTTGTATTCTGTGTTGCCATGTGAAATTTTCTTCAATTCTTCAAACTGAACAAAGTTTTCCTGACTCCGAGCCTTTGCATAGTATGTCTCCTCTTACCTCAAACATATTAACACCCTTTCAGGTTTCTGTGTAAACATCATTTCTCTTAAGATACCTTCCTGACCCTCCAGACTAAATGAAATATACATGATTTGTGTTCTCTTGGCACCTGGGATTTCTTCTAGTGCTAAATTTATTTCACTTTATTATAATTACTGCTTTAATTTTCTTCCTGCCTTTTAAACAATAAATTTTAAGAATGTAGTGGTAACATCTTAAACATCTCTGTCTTCCTAGCCCCTAACATAGTGCCTGAAGATTTTAGGTACATAAATAAACATTTGCTGAACTATTGTTTTAATTGTTCACTATCTTTTCATTTTATTGTTTTGTTGAAGAACCAACACTTTTAATTTCTGAGACAACAAATTGTTTATAAGAATTGTGCTTTAAGGGTTTTATTGTACTCAGCTATGGAACTAGGATAACCTTGTGAAGTTTTAAGAACATTGTCAATACTTAGTGCAATGGACCTTACTTTATAATAGTTATAATATTATAATACTATAATAGTTTCAGTTATTTCCAGGTATAGTGATTCACACCCGTAATCCCAGAGACTCAGGAGACTGAGACAGGAGGATTGTGAATTCTAGGCCAGCCTCAGCAATTTAGCAAGATCCTCAACAACTTATCGAGACCCTGTCTCAAAATAAAAAGGGCTGGATTATAGCTCAGTGGTAAAGCACTGCTGGGTTCAATCCTTAGTAAGAAAAAAAGATGTCTCAGTTATTTTTTTGTTTTGATTATTTGAAAAGAAAACAATGATGGAAACATTGTCTAGCAGGTCTGTGCATTGTTGTTTTTGTGGGACATAGCCAAAAGAATTTTACCTCTTTTCCTTTGTGTGATTATATTACATATTTGCTTGTTTACTCTTTCCCCATTATAATATAAGTTCTAATGAGCATTTAAAAACTGAGGATAAAATAGGAAACTGTTTATCCTCAGCTCCTAGGGCAATGGCTAAAACAGTGTAATAAATATTTGTAGAATGAATGAATAGATAAAATTCCCTAGACAATAAAGTTATTGATGCACTGCTTTTTGCTTTCTGTATTTAGTTCTGAAAACCCAGAAGGGCTTGATGTTTACATGCATATCTTACAGTTGCTTACCACAGTGGATGATGGAATTCAAGCAATTGGTAAGATGGTTTATTGGGATGCATTAGAGCTACTAATGTAGTAGTTTCTTTATTTTTAAATTACTACTTTGTTTATATTCTTTATTAAGTACAGTGTCCTGATACTGGAAAAGACACTTGGACTTTACTTTTTGACCTGGTCTGCCACGAATTCTGCCAGTCTGATGACCCACCCATCATATTGCAAGAACAGAAAACAGTGCTAGCCTCTATTTTTTCAGTGTTGTCTGCCATCTATGCTTCACAGGCTGACCAAGAACATCTAAAGACAGAAAAAGGCAGGTATTGCGTCATTCACTAAATTAAATTGCAACCTGTTATATTTTTAAAGACCTGGCCTGTGTGTGTTCTTCATTTGATTTCTTTCTCCCATTTATCCCCATTAAAAAAAAAATATATATTTTTTTGTTCCTTTAAATGCAAGTCAAGGATCTGTCTTAACATATTTGTCCGAAAAAATTGCCATTTATTTAGGTAGGGAAGATTGGTTTTAAACATGTTAAGTTTTAGATGTTCAAATGCAGATGTTGAGTTGACAATTTAAAGTCTGAAGCTGAGGAGAGAGGCTGAGTTAGGAATCTAAATATTGGAGTTCAGTTGTTAGTTGTTATGTTGCTTATATCTTCTATAACCTTACTTATTTCTTTTGACTTGATGTGAAATGAGAGAAAAACTAATCTTGCTACAAATATGCTTAGCTTTTTTTTTTATCATATGTAGTTTCCTTAATGAGTGTTGATGTTCTTAATCTTTCCTTGAAAATTATAGAGAAAGTTTATCATACTAGAAACTTTTTTTTTTTTTTTAAGTTGGTGTAGCTCAGTTATCCAGAATAGGGGATGTCATTGTGGCATATTCACACATACATGAAATCGCAATTTGATTGATTTTACTCCCCAGTACTGCCCCTACCTTTCTTTTTCTCTTCCCATCTTCTCCCTCTACCCTAATGGTCACCCTCTACTTTCATGGCATCCTTTTCGCCCCCCTTAACTTTCATATATGAGGAAAAACATAACAATACTTTTATGAATCTGACTTACTTCACTCAAAATTGTGGCCTCCATTTCCATTAATTTTCCTGCAAATGACATAATTTTGTTCTTTATGGCTGAACAGAAGTTCTTTGGGTTTATATACCACATTTTCTTCCATTCATCTGTTGGTGGACACCTAGGGTGATTCCATAACTTGGCTGTTGTGTTGTGCTGTTATAAACATAGGTATGTGTGTATCTAAGTATGCTTACTTTCATTCTTTTGGATAAATACTAAGGAATGGTATAACTGGATTATATAGTAGTTAAATATTTTTATCTTTTTAAGGAACCTCCACACTAATTTCCATAGTTACTATGCTAATTTATATTCCCACCAACAGTGTATAAGAGTTTCTTTTAATCCTAGTTAGCATCTATTATTATTTGTATTCTTGAAGATTGCCTTTCTGACTAGAGTGAGATGGAATCTTAGTGTAGTTTTAATTTACATTTCGTTGACAACTGAAGATGTTGAGCCTTTTTTTTATTATAGTTGTTAGCCATATTGTACTTCTTTTAAGAAGTGTCTGTTTAGTTCATTTGCCATTTATTGATTGGGTTGTTCATTTGAGTTCTTTGCATATTCTGGGTATTAAATCCTATGTTAGATGATTAGCTAGCAAAAATTCTCCCATTTTGTGGGTTGTTTCTTCATTGTTAATTGTTTCCTTTTGTTCTATAGAGGCTTTTAGGTTTGATACCATTCTATTTATTCTTTCTCTTATTTCCTGAGCTATGGGAATCCTATTCAAGAAGTCTTTGCCTGTGCCTACATGTTGAAGTGCTCCCTTTATTTTTTCTTCTAATAGTTTCAGTTTCTGGTCTTAAACGTGGGTCTTGGTTCCATTTTTTTCCCCCCAGATACCGGGGATTGAACTCGGGGGCACTCAACCACTGAGCAATATCCCCAGCCCTTTTTGTATTTTATTTAGAGGCAGGATCTCACTGAGTTGCTTAGTACTTCACTTTTTGCTGAGACTGACATTGAACTCCCTCCATCTCCCAAGCTGCTGGGATTATAGATGTGTGTCACTGTGCCCAGCTTGGATCAATTTTGAGTTGACATTTGTATAGGGTAAAAGATAAGGATCTAATTTTATTCTTCTATATATGAATGTCCTGTTTTTTATAGCACCACTTATGAAAGAGGGTGTCTTCACCAACATGTTTTTGACATCTTTTTCAAGAATCAGATGGATGTGGGTGGGGTTTGGCCTCTGTGGTCACTGGGAATGTTGAATCCCTCAGCAGCTTTTGCAGAGCACTGATATTTATGGACACTAACACAGACTTCATTTAAAGAACTCATGGACAATTAATGGCAAAAACATGAATCAGTTTGTATTGTGGCATTCAAATCCTAGCACTTTGGGAAAGCAAGTAGTAAGGTTTTGAAAACCATGGTTCACCATCATTATGCATTCAGAAGTTGAGTAAGATAACCACATCAAGAATTAGGACATCTTGGGACTGGGGTTGTGGCTCAGTGGTAAGGTGCTTGCCTAGCCCATGCAGCCCTGGGTTCGATCCTCAGCACCACATAAAAATAAATAAAGTAAAGGTATTGTGTCCAACTACAACTAAAAAAAAAGAATTAGGACCTCTTCAAGTGCTTCAAGTATTATCTGCATTAAAGCTGTCCATTGAACTCTCATAAAAGTAGAAGCTGAAAGGGACCTTTTCCATTAATACATTTTAAAAAATATCACTTCCTCTGACTTCAGTTTTCTTGGCCATTAGGGTCTTTCATATTATCTGTTCCATTACACAAGAACCAACAAAATATTGCATATATATGTATATATTTTTTTTCATATTCTGTGGCCATAAATTTTTATTGATAGAGGAGCATGAGTTTGGCTTGGTAAGTTTGGAATTAGGTCTATTATTGTAGCCTGCAAAAAGTTGAATCAATAATGTAAAAATAAGGAGTAAATGTTAAAAATATGTGAGGTTAATAGAGCATGTGTTTTGCATGGGGCAAGGCCCTAGTTGAATTTCCTGCATCAAAAAAAGCAACCCCCCACCCCATGTTTATTTGACTTTATTTTATTATGTGTAAAGTGAACCTGTTATTTTCCTCACCTACCTCACAGGGTTGTTGCCAGGTTCAAATGAAATAATGTATGCAAAAAAGACAATAAAATGTGCAATACAGATAGGGACATGTATTATTACATAGTTGCAAATCATCCTCTCTGCTTTTTAGCCTGGGAAGGTCGGTGCTTGAAACACAAGTTGGAAAGCATGTACCATGTCCAAACTGGATACAGGGAAATAAGGCCATAGTTTTGGGGTTTTTTCCCCTCTGAGTACTTAGAATACTATCATGGGCTAATTCTAAGAAGGAGGAAGACAATAAATTTCTTCAAATTATAAATTGGAATTGGTAATGTTCTAGAGTTATTAAGGGTAGTGACATTAGTGGTTTAAAAATATCTTTTTACCGAGTTTTTCTTTTTTAATTAAAGAACAGAGCAGAATATTTCACAATGTATCCCACATAGGAAGAGTTAATATCATCTTAGTTGTATCTGTTTAAATGTGTGGCAGTTGGTGGTTAAATAAAATGCATTTTTTTCCTAGTGGGGGGGGGAAAAAAAGAATTAACCATGTGGTTTGGTTTCTGTATCTTCTGTTCCATTCCTCTGACTTTTTTAATGCCATGTTTTTTTTTTTTTTGTTTTTTTTTTGTTATTGTGCTCCATAGGATAATTTGAAATCAGTTATTGTGTTGCCTCCAGCATTGCTGTTTTTTGCTCAGGATTGCTTTGGCTATTCTGGATTTTTTGTTCTTTCTAGTTCTGTGAAGACTATCACTGGTATTTTGATGAGTATTGCATTGAATTTGTAGATCACTTTTAGAAATATGCTCATTTTAACAATATTAATTCTGCCTATCCGTGAACATGGAAGATCTTTCCATTTTCTAGTGTGTTTCTCAATTTCTTTCTTCAGTGTTTTATAATGTTCATTGTAGATGTCTGTCTTTCACCTCTTTGGTTAGGCTTACTCATATATATATATTTTTTTCTTTTTTTTAAGCTATTGTGCATGAAGTTTTCCTGATTTTTGTCGTATGGAAAAACTGTTGATTTTTGTAGGAACCTCTTTTGTGCTGTTAATAGGACTAGATATCTTTTGCTGCAGCCACCCCAAAACTGTGTAAAATTTTATGATCGGTGAAGAAAGTATAAAGATGTTCCTTTAACTCCAAGCCGCTGATTAAAATCTTCTCCTTGTCTTGTCCCAGCCTTGAATAGTGGTTTTGCAGAGATAGGGCTTGGTATAAATTGATGTGACCTACAGGTAAATAATGGGATAAGAATTGGGCTTTTGAGTTGGTGATAATATAAGGAAGTAGGAGTAGATCTAAGGGAACTATAATAAAGCAGCCAGGTAGAGAGGTGTTCTGAAGACATTGAATTGAGTAATAAAAGATAAGATTTCCCTGGTTGCTAAGTTTTTAAAAAGTCACTTCCATATACTGTACATAAATGACTTAAGTTTGGATAGGAAATTAGATTTTTTTCAAATTAGTATACTTGATATTTCAGTGCTGTAGAAAACTTTCTTTTTTTCCCCCCAGTTATAATTATTAAGCAGAAATGGTGAAGTTAGAATCAGTGTTTGAATCTACATGAGATCTCTTAGCATGTTGATGGTACAATATATATTTTGAATATGAGCTTTATTTTATTTTATTTTTTATGTGGTGCTAGGATTGAACCCAGTGCCTCACACTTGTGAGGCAAGTGCTTTACCACTGAGCTAGAACTCCAGCCCCTGAATATAAGCTTTATTTTTATATTCAATTTTTTTTGTATTCTAATTAAAATGACTATTCAGTCTTTAAAAATTAGACTGAATTTTTCTGCTTAATTTAATAAAATTTAGCATTTAAGAGCTTTGTCTAAGATTTTTATGATGTTAAAACTTAAACTTAATATTCTTTTGTCACTGTGTCCTCAAAGACCCTGCGTTGTAGGGCTCTTTCCTATCTCTCTAACCTCTTTCTGTGCTACTCTTCCCTTGCTCACTAGCCCAGAGTCATACTTGCTTCCATTTTGCTTTTCAGACTTTCCCTGATATTTTCTTTTTGGGGTCTTTGCTCTGTTCCTCTGAGATATTTTGCTGGGCTTTCTGCATTGCTAACATTTCTTATCCTTTAGTTCTCAGTATCAACTCTTCAGAGAAGTTCCCCTGTTGAGCTGCTTTATTATATTTCCCTTTTGTTTCCTTCATAAAATTTACCAAAACCTGAAATGATCTATTTTATTTATTTACTTATGTGAAGGTATGTAGACATAAGCCTCTTGAAGGCTGATGCCTTAGCAATCTTATTTACTACTGTATCTGTAGTTCAGTATGAATGTATGACTTAATGAGTAAAAAAAACCAAACTGGCTAATTTCATGTCTCTTTATTTGTTTGTACAGTAGATCTTCCTCTGATTGACAGCCTAATTCGGGTGTTACAAAATATGGAAGATTGTCAGAAGAAACTAGAGAACTCTGCAGAGTCTAACCAAGAAGAAAATAAAAAGTCTGATCCAACCCAAGATGACTTCCACTTGAAAATCTTAAAGGATATTTCATGTGAATTTCTTTCTAATATTTTTCAGGCATTAACAAAGGTAGGAAAGAAGTATTCATGGTTTTTTGTTGTTGTTTTTATTTTTGGTACCAGGGATCGACCCCAGGGGTGCTTAACCACTGAGCCACATCCCCAGCCCTTTTTTATATTTTATTAGAGACAGGGTCTCACTGAGTTGTTTAGGGCCTCACTAAGTTGCTGAGGCTGACTTTGACCTTGTGATACTCCTGCCTCAGCATCTTGAGCCACCGGGATTACAGGCATGCACCACTGTGCCTGGCTTTTTTTTTTCAGCAAATGAAAGTATGGTTTGCATAATGCTGTGAACTTTATTGCTGCTTTTTTGCGGTGCTGGGATTGAACCCAGGATTTCATGCATGTTATTTTTATTTTATTCATTTATTTATGTGTGGTGCTGAGAATCAAATCCAGTGCCTCACACATGCTAGGCAAGCGCTTTACCACTGAGCTACAACCTCAGCCCTTGCTAAAGTCTTTTTTAAGCATCAAGTGATATGATCAATTCAGAAGGATACCTCCAAAAGCAATAGAGAGGAAGAATTAGAGAGTTGAGGCTGGAGGCCAGGAGACCAACTGATGGGATCTTAAGGTTGATAATCTTCAAGAATATTCTGGCCAGGCTCCGTGGTGCATCCCTGTAATCCCAGCGGTCCAGGAGGCTGAGACAAGGAGGGTTGCGGGTCCAAAGCCAGCCTCAGCAATGGCGAGGTGCTTAGCAACAGTGAGACCCTGTCTCCAAATAAAATAGAAAATAGGGGATGTGGCTCAGTGGTTAAGTGCTCCTGAATTCAATCCCTAGTATAATAATAATAATAATAATAATAATAATAATAATAATTTGAAAAATCATGAGAGCCTAAACAATGAAGTGTGAATGGAGAGGAGTGATGGGGTAAGGTTTAGCAGAGTAGAATTGAACACTTCTGGGGGGGAATTAGTAGCCCGACAGAAGGAAAAGTCCTGGATGTACCCAGGTTTTTGGTTTGTGCAGTAGGGTGGATGGTAGTACCCGCCATTAAAATAAGGACCACAGTGGAGATGTGTTTGGGTTATATAAAACTTTTGATGAAGCTAGGTTCAGTTTGCAACATTTGAAATGACCATAGGATCAATAAGTAATTATATATACTGATTTGTATTTTTTTAGTAAATAAAGCTTTAGAATTTTTCATTTTTTGATAGTAAATCTTTTATTTATTTTAGGAGACTGTGGCTCAGGGGCTAAAGGAGGGCCAGTTAAGCAAACAGAAATGTTCCTCTGCATTTCAAAACCTCCTTCCTTTTTATAGTCCTGTGGTGAGTATGGGTAAAAGTATAGGGGTCTGTATTTCACAGGATTACTAAATGTTCTCAAGAAGGACTTCATCTTTCAAGGCCATTGTCAAAAAAGATGGTACACATCACATGATTTAATGCCCTGTCCGAAAGATGGCTACTGGCTAATTCATAGTACTGGCCTAAGTGTAATTCTGATTTTAGGAAGAAATCAACATGGAATTTATGCTGTCTCTTTCTGTTATAAAGTAGAAAGCATAGGTATTAAGCAAAAGTAAGATTCTTATGAAGAGTTGGTATTTTTGGGGGTGGGGGGAATACTAGGGATTGAACCCGGGGCACTCAACCACTGAGCCACATTCCCAGCTCCCTTTGTATTTTATTTATAGACAGGGTCTCACTGAGTTGCTTAGTTCCTTGCTTTTGCTGAGGCTGGCTTTGAATTCGAGATACTCCTGCCTGAGCCTCCTGAGCTTGATTTTTATGTGAGAATTTTGTGTTGGTATCCCCTACAAGTACATTCAGCTGGGATTACAGGTGTGCACCACTCTGCCCAGCTGTTTTTATGTTCTTCAAATAACACATTTGCTACCATTGGAGGCAGTTTCTAAATAGAAAATTTTAAAGGAAAATAAGTACAAAAGGAAGGCATGCAGAAACATGTTGAAAAGGAAAATATTAATAAACTATAGTAATGGACTTTTTTTTTTTTTTTTTTGGTACCAGGGATTGAACCCAGAGGCACTACTGAGCCACATCCCCAGTCCTTTTTTATTTTTTATTCTGAGACAGGGTCTCACTAAATTGCTGAGACTGATGTTGGATTCTCCTGGCTCAGCCTCCTGAGGTGCTAGATTTACAGGTGTACAACACTGCGCCCGACATAATAATGAACCTTAAAGGGGAATCAGCAGGAGGATAAGTAGTAGCTCAAGAATTAAAATATAAATAAATAAAAAAGTTAGGTATAGTCACTTCCTTCATGATGATTCGGGGGACCGTGATATCATCTGGAAATTCATCAACATATCTGTCTGTTGAACTATTTAGAAAACCATAGGTAGAACATTTTTTATAGTCAGAATATCTTCAATCACCATTTTTCTCACTATATTTATTTGATTCTTTTGTTTGACTCCCAGGTGGAGGACTTCATTAAAATCTTACATGAAGTCGATAATGTCCTTGCTGATGACCTACAGGAAAGCTTCCCAACTTTGAAGGATCAGGCTTGAAAAATGAGTTGGAATTTCTTCTGTCCAAGAAATAAACTTGATTTTTTTCATAGTTGAAATTGACATAAAGGAAATATTAGATAAAACTGGTACTAGACACAATTGCCTAGTGTTGTGCCCTTTTTCCTCTCTAGACTTAACCTCAATTATTTGGTATTAAAATCTGAACTTCACCTCCCTCTATTTTTAATATTGCTTATGAGTTATTTATCTTTAGTTGAAGAGAGCAAAAATACAAACTTACCATTGAGGTTCTTCTAAGAATATTTGAGGGGTTGGTAAGGTTTTCTTCATAACTATTACTTTGATTTTTATGTGAGAATTTTGTGTTGGTATCCCCTACAAGTACATTCAGCTGCAGTAACAGAAAACTCTTATTAGTAACTTAAGTCTTTTATGTATTTTGTGTATTTTTGCAATAAGAAGTTCAGAGGGGGGCTGTCCAGCTCTGAGAAGTGACTCAGGGACACTGCTTCCTTTCATCTTTCCATGAGACATGTATACCTTTATATTCATGTTTATTGTTTCATGGCTAAGGGGTGTGTGCCATGTCTTTCATCTTCATTCAGAAAGAAAAAGAGGCAAAGGGGTTTCCTCTAGCAAGTCTTATCCTTTGTATTGAAAGGATAGCCCTCCCTGGCCTTCTTTATCACATGGTCATTCCTAGTTGTAAATGTTTAAAATTTTTTCTTTGTAGTCTATGTAGGAGAGAATAGTAAGAAAGAAGGGAGGTATGAATGGTGCTTGGATAGCCAGTTGATGGTCTTTGCTATAACATGTAAATATATTTTAGCCACTTTGTGAAAGTAATTTGTGTTGATTCCTTTCCAAACTGTTAGTAATTACTCAAAAGCAGTTATTGCTCTTAGTTTACCTTTGTTACATTTCAATTTTATTTTCCTACATTGGACATATGAAGGTAGAAATGTTGACATTGTGATAAAAGCATATTAACCAATTTCTTTTTTCAGCATTATTCCAGTAGTTGAATTTCAGAAAGTGATTCGCTTGAGGAAATTCAGATTTTTTTTAAAAAATTAAGATTGAGGGGATTTGGTAGCTTCTGATGATTTACAAACTGTGCTGTACACACACACTTTATTACTCTGTATAGTGCTTTCTAATGAATGAATTGTATTCAGGTACTATCAACCAGCTATGCTTAAAAAAGCATCCAGTTTGTATTATTTCAGATACTAAAAAGTGGAATTTCTAATAGATTTAAAGAAAATATCAGTTATGAGTAATAAAGCTAGCTTTTAAAGCCCATTCCACAGTTGTTTTAGAATCTTTTTTTTTTTAATATTTATTTTTTAGGTGTAGTTGGACACAATGCCTTTATCTTATTTATTTATTTTTATATGATGCTGAGGATCGAACCCAGGGCCTCACATGTGCTAGGTGAGCGCTCTACCGCTGAGCTACAACCCCAGCCCCTGTTTTAGAATCTTTAAGGTAGTGGTCTTTTCTTACACTTTGTTTACTTTCCTTGAGGGATTTTTGTTGATAAAACACAGAGATAACTCTTATTGATAAAAGAAGACTGATTCCAGTTTGGAGGAAGTTTTATTGTTTGAATTATCACTGTTGAAAAGAATGAGACCATAAAATTAAAATCTTAGAGTTGAAACTTTTAACTGGTAGGTTTACTTTATGTTTGTATGTCCTGAGGGCTGGTCTTATTGATAGACTGAATGTGTTTATTTAACATGAAGTTTCAGAGGCACCAGTGAAATGACCTGCTAGCCAATGCTAAAACTCCAGTTTTATTTCTTTAAATATAAGGTTGAGATGCAAATACCCTATAAAAGTAACACTTGAAATTATTGGCTTTATTTTCCTTAGTGCATATACCTTTCATATTGCTTTCCTGAAAACATGTTTTAAGGGGGGGAACACAAGGCTTGGGGGTTCTGAGGAAGAGAGTGCTACCCAGAGGATGAGTTATAGAGGGAAAAAAAAATGGGTTATTTTATAGGAAGGTAGGATGTGTTATTTCTGATTCACATTTCTTTTACTTTGGACCTGACCTATTTTCTTTATTATTTCTTTCTATTATAACATTATAAGCTGCTTTCATAGTATTTTTTGATACATTTGAACATTTCTTAAATCTGTAAATTATAATAAATAGTTCAGTATAAACTTTTAAAATGTTACATGATCTGAAGAGTTCACTACAATGTTCTATATTTGAATCAGTTGCAGTGGTATTTTGAATGATGCTTCTCCAGAACATAAATATGATATTTGAAAGTACATGTACAAATAAAATTGAAACTCATTCTTTCCCTACACTTTTTTGTAGGAGGAGAGGGAAAAAATTGAGAGGAACTTGAGTTAGCCTTTATTATATGTGGTGTCATTGTTTCTAATTAAATTTGAATTAGATTTTCAAAGTATTTAAATCATTTTTTAAAAAAGACATATTCTCCAGGGCTGTGGTTGAAGCTCAGTGGTAGAGAGTTGCCTCGTACACGTGAGGCACTGGGTTTGATCCTCAGCACCACATAAAAATAAATAAATAAAAATAAAGATATTTTGTCCACCTACAACTAAAAAAAAATAATAATAATAAAAAAGAAGACATATTCTCCTGCCTTTTTAGAAGATATTTTGTCCCTTTCAGTTAATGGGATATTATTAAACTCTTGTTTTTTTTGGCTGATCCGTCATTCTAGATGAAGAACTTTTCCAACTGTCTTTAATTTCCTATTGCCTTACTTTTGAATTACTCACCTTGATAACTCTGGCATTTTAAGTGAGGAAAAGTTTAAAAGGCACCTCTCAACATATATACTTTTACATGTGAACACACACATACACACAAACTTTTTTTAATGATGTGCATGCAGAAACTAACTGTAGACATTAAGGAACAACCTCTGAAGTAAATCATTAAGTCTTAAGTGAACATCACTTTCTGTTGTACAGGATTGAGCTATAGTGATGGTGTAGAGCTGTGTTTGAGTAAATTAAAGAAAAGGAATGCTGAGATTATAGATTATCTTGCCTGTTTTAACTAGTATTTATAACCTTATCAATATCCTATTTTTTCAAGGAATAGATTTCTTTAATTTAGGGTTAATGTATTCTATATGAACATATCTTTTACCACTTTGCAACTTTAATCTTTTCTATATTCTTGGTAGAAGTTTTAAGGAAGGAAAAATAAGTGAGTATCACTCTTGAGATCCATTCCGATATTTTTGTTACTAGTGTGAGATCTAATCCAAGAACCATTATGAACGGTCATGTATGTACAATGAAATGGTATGATGTCTTGGATTTGCTTCAAAATAGTCTTCAAAATAGGGGTAAGAGGAAGGAAGGTGGGATAAGTGAAATAAGATTGGCTATGAATTGGAATTGCTGTAGCTGGGTGATGATTACATGGGGGTCTGTTACACTGCTGTTTCCTCTATTTTTGTATGTTTGAGATTTTCTATTAAAGTTTTTTAAAAACAAATCTCATGATTTTAAGCCTGAGTTTAATTATGAATAATGCTTATTCACATAAGAATCAAATTATTATAATATTAAATATTTCTGAATTCAAAACAGTTGAAACCAACACAAATACTTGATAGAAAGGGTTATCAGTATATAACCAAGTATGTAAGAATTATTATCTTTATCTCATTGTTGATGTCACATATGTTTTAGTGCCATAGTGTTATACTTTTGGGGTCTGGGGGTTATTGGGGATTGAACTCAGGGGCGCTCAACAACTGAGCCATATCCCTAGCTCATTTTTGTATTTTATTTAGAGACAGGGTCTCACTGAGTTGCTTAGTGCCTTGCCCTTACTGAGTCTGGCTTTGAACTTGCAATCCTCATGCCTTAGTCTCCTGAGCTGCTGAGATTACAGGCTTGCGCCACTGCATCCGACCTACTGGTATCCTTTTACTAACAGAATCTCTTATTGTTAATTTTTTTAAAATATATATATTTTTTAGTTGTAGTTGGGCACAATAGCTTTATTTATTTATTTATTCACTTACTTATTTCATGTGGTGTTGAGAATCGAACCCAGTGCCTCGCATATGCTAGGTGAGCACTCTACCCTGAGCCACTGTAGTCTGCTCGTAGAGTAGTAAAGAAAAGAAGCAGAATCATAGAGATAGAGATGGAAGTTTTTTAAGAGATGACCTATGTCCAATACTTAATTCTTTCGTCTAGTCAGACCTACAAGAGCAGGTAAATGTTGTCCTTAGGGCTGGCCTAGGCCCAGAGCAACAACCACAAGAAACCAGGCAAGACTAAAAGAGTGGAAAGAGGAGGACACCTTGTGGTGGATGCTGCCAGCTTTCTGCTCTCACCTTATATTTGTTCATCAATCTGCTTTGTATTTCTGTATAGAATGCAGAGTCTACATTGTTAAAATTTGATGATGGACCTTAGGTTAATTTTCATAAAGTCAAATTTGCTTAAATACATTGTTTAACAACTCAGGCAGCATCTGTAAGATAAAAGCTAAAGGGCTGGGGCTATAGCTCAGTGGCAGAGCACTTGCCTAGCACCTGTGAGGCACTGGGTTCTATCCTTAGTATCATAAAAATAAATACCATAAAGGTGTGTTATTCATCTACAACTACAGAAAAAAATTAAAGAATACAAAAAGATAAGAGATAAAGAAGCATCTCTGAGTTTCTAGTTAGTTTCCTAGCCAAAGATTTTGGAATATTAGACTACTCCTTATTCCATGATTATTGTGCCCATGTAACTATATTTTCTTCAGAGCTATATATTTCCCTGGACGTTCATGCCTGCAAACTTCTATAATTTAGCAGCACCATAGAGTAATCATTTTCATTTTACTCTATTTTTTCCTACTTTAGGGCCCTAACAAGGAACATAATTCTGAAAAAGAACCATGTTAAGTTGAAATTAGACCTGGATGAGAGGATCTATACATCATCTGTGCTTTTTTGATTAGCTATGGCTTGGCTATGTGTGTGCATCTCTAATATAATCAAGTTGGAATTAAATTGAAGCATAATTTACTTAAGGTTGTGATAAGACACCAGACTTAATTTTCCTGGTAGAAATGACCACCGCTTGTGTGGAGTTTACTATTTGCCTGATACTCTATAACG